ATATATATATTTCCACCATGTATCCCCAGAATCACAAAACAACTCTGAAAACTTCAAAAAACGTTAGTCACCCCAACTGCACTCCCTTATTATCGATATATCAACCTTCTACCAAGTCATTATTACAAATTTTCTATTTCTTTTTTTGCCTAGTGCCAAAATATTCACCATTTACTTCCCAATTGTCTTCCCCGTAATCATAGAATGCCCAAACTATTTTTATTTGACCGACCTACACCACGACACCCGAGTTACCGAGCAGTCTCAGTCGTACATTTGTTAAACTTTGAAAGTTTATGCACATACATATTCCAATTTTTTCCGAATTAATATCGAATAAAAGTAATTTGCCCTTTTGTACCAATTATTTGCACTTTTTCTTGAAACATTAATTTTTAGTAATTGAGAATAAATGATGTAGGTCAAGCCAAAAGGTATAAAATAATATAATTTGTAATTTTGAGGTACAGGTTATACAGGGTGTCTCGGATTTATATAGGGAGACCTTAAAGTAACATAACAAGTACCTATAAAATTTTTCATCAGCGCCCTGAGAATTTATTTTTTTAATAACTTATAAAATACTTTATATAGTTTAATTATTTTTTAATAAGATGGACAACAGAAGATCCAAAAATCCTTAATTCGTAGAGCTACGGAATGCATAACATTAAAAGTAGCTCATATTAAACTGACATACAAAATTATGTAATAAAAATCATCAAACAAAAATAGTTTTTACTCGAAAATAATTCATTTTATCGATATTAACCAAAAGTGCCTTTTTTAGTTTAAGGTTCAAGCTATCTAAAAATATATTATTTTTGTGACTTTATCGTAAAGAGGGTAAAAAAAAAATGATATTATTGTGCTACAGCAGTCCGTCCCTGACAAATCAAATAAGTCAAATCTTTTTTCATGGGTCAATTTTTAAGGATATCAGTAGTTCATCGTATTAAAAAATAATAACTTGTCATGTTATTTTAACGTCCCTTGTATAAATTCGAGAGATTGACCACATATTCTGGGACACCCGGTATATAGTTATATACTAAATATGCGCCATTTCCACTTTAAAAAATTGAGATTCATTTATATATATATATAT